TGTGTGTGTGTGTGTGTTTTCCCCTGTCTCCCTTTATTTCAGCCCCTCAAAATCATAATACATTCAAATCAATAATCACACTGTGTAAGTGATAAATAATAATGAAAGGATAAGTATTGTTTCGTACCATACTCAAGGCTGCTGCCCACTCTTTGAGCTGAGTCTCGGTCCAACTGTTTGTGGGCAATGGTCGTTTTCAGAGGAGTCACGAGACCAACCAACCAATCGTTGTGGAGGAGCGATAGTCGTTTTGTTTTAGTAAACGTTTTAGGACAGTTACAACCGAATAAGTGTCGAAGATTAGAGGAGTTACAAGAGAGTAAGAAAAAAAAGGAGGAGCGATACGGACAATATTCGTTAGATAGGAAAGAAAACGCTAACCACACTACAGCACCGGTCAACCACTCACATTCGTTTTGTTTTTGTATAAGTGAAGGTGGAGGGATGAGTGTTTAGGTATGTGTTTGTGTGTGTGTGAAAGTGTGTGTCTGTATGTGTGTGTGTGTGTGTGTATGTGTGTTGTGTTTGTGTGTGCACATGTGTGTGCTCATGTGTGTATTTGTTGGAAACCGCGTAATTTGTCAGTTTTCATTTTGAAACTGCGTTAACTCTTTAAACCTCATCAGACGCTGGTAGCGTCCGGCGGTAATAGCCTTGTCCTCTTCGATACTAGTGACAATTGTTTTGTTTCATTTAGTGCTAGTGTTTGTTTGTTTTTTGAAACTATTCTCGATCAAAGTTTCCGCCATTTAGAAGTTGACGGAAAGTTCAGATTGTGTTTTTAGAAGTTATAATGAGACACCGTGCACCAGGTGTAGATGTAGGTGACTTTTGAAAAAAAAAACTCTGGAAAAGATGGAAAAAACTCATGGTTTAAAGAGTTCAATATTATGGATACTCAAACATTAACCTTTTTAGATTCCTGTTGCGTGTCTGATTTTGCAGTTACGTCACTGATGTTACCTAGGATGATGTAAAATCTGGAGAACAATCAATTTTCAAAATACAACCTTGTATGTGGTTGGCGGGGGTTCTGGTGTGGCCTGCTCCTTCTTTCCTATCAAACATCTAAGGCTCTCTTCTCTACTCCTTCATTTTTGTGTCTGTTACTCTCTAGTAACATCTCTGATCTTCGACACATAATATTTGACCTGAATGGCTTTCAAGTGTCGTAATACACATACTAAATCTTTTAAAAAGTGCTAACCTGTGCTGCTTCATTTTTGTCTCTATTTACAGCCAGCGAGCGTTTTATGACCATCACGTACGAACCGATGGAAAGAAGACCCAGAACAGCACGAGATGATGACAACGAGGATCACAGCGGGAGCGATGAGTCGGGAGCTGACGACTCGGATAGTTTTTGTGGTGAGTAGATGTGGAAGAATAAGAAAGAGGGAAAAGAGGGAAAAGAGGGAGGAGGGAGGAGGAAGGGGAGAGGGTTATCTGGTGTCTTTTTGTGAAGGCTTAAATCATTGGCGAAATAAGAGCGGGGTTGGTGGAGCGGTGAGTGAGTGGGGAGAGGAGGGAAAACGGGGAGGGGTGAGGAGGGTTATATTAATGTACGCTATTGTTTTAATACGTAGATAGGAACAGAAACCGATGGAAAGAGAAGTGAAAAGAAGAAAGAAAGGGCTAATAAAAATAAAGAGAAGACGGGGTGAGGTTTGGGTTGTTAGCGAGGAAAGATGTACCCGGTTGTTTGTATAGTAAAGTAAATGAAATATAGAAGGAGATCTTCTTTTTAAAAACGAGTTCTCGAGAGAGACACACAGATAGATAAATAGATAGATAGATGGATAGATAGATAGATAGATAGATATATAGATAGATAATGAGAGAGAATCGAAAAGAGAGATCGTAAAAGAAAGAAAGGGGCAAAACGAAAGAGATCGAGTGAGAGTAAGAGAGAGAGAGACAGAGAAAGAGAGAGAGAGAGAGAGAGAGAGAGAGAGAGAGAGAGAGAGAGAGAGGGAGAGAAGAGAGTTGAGAGAGGAGGGAGAGCGCGCGAATGAGAGAAAGAGAGAGAGAGGGAGAGAGAGGGAGAGAGAGAGGACGAACAAGAGAGAGAGAGAGAGATAGAGAGAGAGAAAGAGAGAGAGAGAAAGAGAGAGAGAGAGAGAGAGAGAAATTTTGGCGACGCAGAATATTGAAAGAGATTGGAGGTGGGGGGAAGGAAGAGAGAGAAAATGAAAGCGAGAGAGAGAGAGAGAAGAGAGAGTAAGAGAGAGAGAGAAGAGAGAGAAAGAGAGAGAGAAGAGAGAGAGAGAGAGAGAGAGAAAGAGAGGGAGAGAGAGAGAAAGAGAAAGAAAGAAAACGAAATCGAGAGAGAGAGAGGGGGAAAAGAGAGAGAGAAGGAGAGACAGAGAGAGAGAGAGAGAGAG